CCGGCCCCTCCTGCGCACCGCCGGCCCCACGCGCCTTGCCGACTCCTCTCTACGTGCCGGCCCCTCCCACACCTGCCCGGCCTCTCACGCGCCTGGCCGGCCCCTCGTGCGCCTCGAGCCCTTGCGCGTATGTTGGCTCCTCACGTGCTCACCGGCCCTCTTGCGCCCACCTCAGCCTTCCGCCCGATCTCCGGAGAGTCCTGCCGCCACACCGCTGCACCACCATGCAGTTAAGTACTTGTGTCCCAGTGCTGCTGTCTCCCAGTGCTGCCTTGCTGCTGTGTCCCGGTGCCGCTGAGTTTGCGTGATGGCGGACACCATGCTACGCCCTGACGCGGAGGGGCATGCAATCAACTTCGCCGCCTGGCTTGTCGATCTTCGCCGGCACCTGACAGGTCAGCGCCAGGATGGGCACTCCCTGGCTATGCATGTTGATGGCTTGCTCCCCTGCCCCCCCGCGTCTGCTCCCCTCTCTGCTGACCCCACCACTGCTGAGAGTGAGGCCTTTGCTGCTGCTGTGCTCGCTCGCGCTGAATTGCGATGTCGTAGAGCAGCTTGCCATTATTCATGCGCTTCCCCTATCTGAGCGTCCCCGCTTCACTGCTGTAGCAAATGCCAAAGACTTCCTAGATGCAGTAGTTGCACGCTACTCCACGCCTGCCTCCGCCTCAGCTGGCCACTTGATCCTCCCCATGCTCTTCCTCGATCTCTCTGCTTTCCCCACTATCGCTGATCTCACCACTCACCTCCGTGCTCTAGAGACTAGCTACCGCGCTGCTAGCATTGCCGCCCAGCTCACTGCTTTCCCCCCACTGTTCTGTGCTACCCTGTACCTTATTGCCATGCGCCTGCCTGACCGCCTAGCCACTGCCCGAGACCACTGACGAGCGGTGTTGCAGAAGTCCCTATCTTTCAGGGCTGTGCTCCCTCCCAATGCACGTACACTGACGTTTCCGCCGCGGTTGCTATAGCTACCCTGGCCACAGAGACCACTGTCGCGGCCTTCCTGCAGTAGCGACAGCGTAGGGACCGCTGTGGCCTCAAGGGAGGGCGTGGTGGTGGCGGGGACATTGGTTCGGATGAGGGGGTTGGGGCTGGTGTCCAGGAGCAGCAATAGACGCAGCAGCAGCAGCAGCCGCAGCAGCGGCAGCAGCAGCAGCAGCAGCAAACGTGGGCCTGCCTCCTGCCGGGGTGGCCAGGAGCCCCAGGAGGTGGTGGCCGCGGTGGCGGCCCCCACAGCTCGGCGTCTACCGGGCGGCTTTGGTGCTGTGGGCTGCTAGTACCAGCTCCAGACCGGGCCCCTTCGTGGCACAGTGTGCCACCGCCCGCTGCTTCCGCCGCCTCAACGACCTCTTCCGTCGCAGCTTCGGCCCGGCCCCGGACCTCCCCAACTGGCCTAGTTTGCTCCGTCACGGTGTGCCAGTGTTTGACTTAGCCATGGATCAGATTAGTTCTGCCCTGCATTCTCTGTATGATGACGCTTCGAGTGTGTCCGGATCATATTACCCTAAGTTCTCTAGCTTAGGCGTAGCACCTGTGTGTAGTACAGACTCCCCTGCTGTATCAGGCGTAGGACCGTTTGCTTTGTCTAGCCTAGGCTGTACCCTTGCTCCTCCTTCGTCTGCGACTACTGCTTTGCTGACCTTCACGCTCGACTCTGGTGCGTCTGCCTTCTTCTTCCACGACCACGCCACTCTCACGCCGCTCGCTGCCCCTGCCTCTGTTGCCCTTGCTGATCCCTCTTCTTGTCCTGTCGTTGCTTGCAGCTCCACTACCCTTCTCTGTCCAGCGGCCCCCTCGGGTCCCCTTACAGGGATGCACATCCCCTCGTTCTCCAAGAACTTAGTTGTTGTCGGCTGTCTTCAGGACCTCGGCGTCACCACTATGTTCACTGGTCACGAGCGGTACGCCGTCTGTACCGAGGTCGCCTCAGGTGCCCCCCTTGCGACGTTCCCCCGGGACCCGATGTCTGGCCTGTTTACGCTGGACAATGCTTCCCCCCCGGTGGGCGCGTCCTCCTCGGGTCATGCGTCTACCTAGGTCGCTGCGGCCTGCTCGTGTCGCTCGCTCACTTACCCGTCGCTTCTGTGGCACCACCGCCTAGGTCATCCCACACTCCCGTGTCTGCGTCACATGTCGCAGCACGGTCTAGTCCTCGGTTTCCATGCGTCGCTTCCTGCCCTCCCTCCCTCGCCTGCGCCGCCATGCATGCCCTGCGTCGAGGGCCGGCTGCGCCGTGCTCCTCACTCTTCCTCGCTTTGCCCTGTTAGTGCACCCGTCCAGACCCTGCACCTAGACGTCTGGGGCCTAGCCCCCGTCCCTGGACCGCGTCATGAGTGCTACTTTCTCGTGCTCGTCGACGACTTCACGCGCTACACCACGGTGTTTCCCCTGGAGCGGAAGGCCGATGTGCCTGACGTTCTTATCCCGTGGGTCGTAGCTGCGCGCCTCCACCGCGGTCTCCCTGTGCTTTGTCTCCACTCCGACCGTGGCGGCAACTTCGCCTCTGGTCGGCTTGGTTAGTTCTGTCCTGCGGAGGGCATCACCCAGTCGTACACTCTACCGGACTCCCTGCAGCAGAATGGGTTCGCTGAGTGACACATCGGCTTGGTCATGGAGGTGGCTCGCACCTCCATGATTCATGCCAGTGCACCCCATTTTCTGTGGCCGTTTGCCATTCGCTACATCGCTCACCAGCTTAACCTGTGGCCGCGCTCCCAGCGGCCGCAGGTTTTGCCGACCCTTCATTGGACCGGGTTCCCAGGTGACGCATCCGCGTTCCACGTCTGGGGCTGCCTCGCTCACGTTTGTGCCTGTGGCACGGACAAGCTCACTGCTCGCACTGTCCCCTGTGTCTGCCTCAGTTTCCCCCTTGACTCGTCCGACTGGCACTTCTACCACCCGCCGTCTCACCGCTTCTTTCACTCCCGTGACGCCACTTTCGACGAGTCTGTCTCTTTGTACCACCGCTTTCCCCACCGAGGTCTCCCGGTTTCCCTGCCCCTGTTTCTGGCTCCAACTCCCTTGGTAGCCCCTGCTCCCCTCCCTCCCCGTCCTGCTCCGTCTTGTGTGTCTCACGTCACTCCCCTCCCGTCGGTGGTCCCAGTCGATGAGTCAGCTGACTCTGGTGGCCTCGCGGCGCCGTTCTCGCCGACGGCCTCCCCACCAGTGTCCCCTCCTCCACTGTCCCAGCAGTCGCCGCCACAGCAGCAGCCGCAGCCGTCGCCGCAGCCGAAGCCGTAGCAGCCGCCGACGCCGCTGTAGCAGCAGCAGCCGTTCGTGGACTCTAGGGGAGTTGGCGTTGAGGAGGGTACTAGTCCTGGGGTTCCTGTCATGGCTTATCCCGGCGGGCCAGGGGGTGGCACCGGTGCTGGAGAGAGTTCTCGCTCGGGGGGTGCCTGTTCTGGGGGTGCTGGAGTGGAGTGTTCCGGAGATAGCCGTGGTGCAGCTGGCGGTTCAAGTGTCGGCGTCGAGCAGCAGCAGCAGCAGTCGCCGCCAGAGTCCGCCCTTCGCTTTCTCGGCCTTCCCTCCCCTGACCGCTCGCCTGCGCCTCCCCCGCCGCCTCCTCCTCTTCTTGTCTATGGCCCTATGTTTCCTCCGCCAGACTCGTCTCCGGCGCATCCCCCTCGTTCCCCTCGTGTGTCTCCTCCTTGCCTCCCTCATTACCGACCCGTCTGTCCCTGTCTCCCGTCTTAACGCTCTTGTCGCCGCTGTCGCTGACTTCGCCTCTACCCGCCGCCCTGACTACACCACTGCTCTGGTCTCTGACCCTGTCCGTCCTTCGTCTGTCGGGGGTGCGTCTGCCCTTGGCAGTGACGTCCTAGAGGACAGACAGTACGAGCTTGCTTTCCTATCTGAGGCTGCTCCCCATCTCTGTTCCATGCTGCTTGTCCCTGAGGGTGACCCCGACGCCTTTGACATCCCGACCCCTCGCACTTACGCTGAGGCGACATCGGGACCGTGGGCCTCTCAGTGGATAGCTGCCATGGAGCAGGAGATGGCATCTTGGAGATCCACTGGCACCTACGTCGATGTAGTTCCCCCACCTGGGGTGAACATAGTCGATGGCCGGGGGCTCTTCAAGGTGAAGCGCCCCCCTGGAGAGCCGCCTGTGTTCAAGGCGCGCTACTTGGCTAGAGGCTTCAGTCAGTGCAAGGGGGTGGACTTCTTTCAGACCTTCGCCCCGACCCCGAAGATGACTACTCTTCGGGCGCTGCTACACGTAGCAGCACAGCATGACTACGAGTTACACTCCCTTAACTTCTTCACAGCCTTTCTCCAGGGCAGCCTACACGAGCAGGTCTACCTAAGCCGACCGCAAGGCTTCACCGGTACCTTCCCTCCTGGGACCGAGTGGCTCCTACGGCGCCCAGACTACGGCGTGCGGCAGGCGCCCCGTGAGTGGCATGACACACTTCGTGCTACGCTAGCTGACCTGCAGTTCTTTCTGTCCTCTGCAGACCCCTCGCTCTTCGTTCGTGCTGGCCAGATTCCATTCTGCATCCTTGTCTACGTAGACGACCTGGTCTTTGCTACTGCAGACAGAGACACACTGGCCTCTGTGAAGGCCGAGCTGCTGAGGAGACACACCTGCACTGACCTAGGAGAGCTGCGCCGCTACCTTGGCTTGCAGATCTCCAGGGACAGAGCAGCGCGCACCATCACTCTCACACGGTCACACTTGGTGCGTCAGGTCCTTCAGAGGTTTGGTCTTCAATTCTCCTCCGCACAGCCCACACCTCTGCCAGTACATTACAGGCTCTTTGCTCCAGTTCGTGAGGAGTCAGTAGAGCCCAGTGGTCTTTTGCATGTAGAAGTTATAGGCTAGAATAGGTGTATGTTCTTAGCGAGTACAACCCAAACCCTATATCTCCCTTGTTCTCTCTTCTTGCTAATTAATTCTAGTATTCTAACAATGGTTTCGCTTGGCTGAATATTGCCCAGCAAGTGTACAAATAGTAAACTACTATTTACTACAATACAAGTGTATAATATAACCGCCGATGTAAATGATAAACGCCAATGATAAACTAGACATATTAACACTAAATACGAACACATATATAACCCCAATGCACAGTAAGTTCACAACTATGGAACTACCACACGCAAGTCAGCCTGGCTACAGGAAGCTACCTACAATACTATGTCAACTGTGGGAAGTGTGATGCAGAGAACCTGGTCTACAAGGCAGAAGCTCACTAGCTCTACTGAACATGGTTACGAGAGGTTAGTGCCGAAGTGAATGGGCGTGGGTCACGACATGTGTTGCAGGGTGGTGAGCAGGTCCGCATCAATGTGACCTAGCCTCGCACATGCCACCACAGGCTCCGGCACCTCGTACTCATTGTTGCCCTGAGATAGGAGGGGACGGGGGGGGGCGAGTGGAAGGGAGGGGGCGAGTGGGAGGGGAGAGAGTTAGAGAGGAGAGGGGTGTGTGAGGAGAGGGAAGAGAAAGCAGTTGGCAAGGGGTGCAAGCGAGGGTGTGAGAGGGCAGGCACCTGCGAGACGATGGCGATGTCCAGGTGGTGCGTTGGCAGCGCTGACAGCAGCGACAGCAGCGGCTGGCGGTGGGCGTCCGGCACTCGGTGCAAGTCCACGTCCATCTCCAGGTAGTCGGGGCCCTGGAGGGGAGAGGTACGGCGATGGGCAGGGGAGTGAGAGATAGAGTGTAAGAGAAAGATGGGAAGGGGAGGGGGAGAGAGAGAGAGAGAGAGAGAGAGAGAGAGAGAGAGAGAGAGAGAGAGAGAGAGAGAGAGAGAGAGAGAGAGAGAGAGAGAGAGAGAGAGAGAGAGAGAGAGAGAGAGAGAGAGAGAGAGAGAGATGGAAAGAGTACTGGTTGTGGCTGGAAAGAGGAGATGCAAGGGGGCAGGCAAGGGAAGGATGAGCAGGGGGTGGAGGGGCATGGGAAGAGAGCGAGAGAGGCAGCACGGCAAGGCGATGGAGACATGGAGGGCTGTGTGGGGAGGAGCAGAGGCGGCGGTGCGAGTACCCGGAAGAACATCTGGCAGGGGTGGATCAGCAGCGACGCACTCTCGTCCTGCGCCCCGCTGCTCCCACCACTGCTGCCCTCACCCTTGCCCTCGTCTGTGCCCTTCACCGCTGCCTCCTTCTCCCTCCCCTCCCCTTCCTCCTCCCCCTCCTCCTCCGCAACCCCCTCCTGTATCTTCTCTCCCCCCCCACGCCCTCCCCTGCGCTGCCCCCCCCCTGTGCGCGCTTGATGAGAGTGAGCTTCACGCGCTCCCTGAACGGCACGCCCCCCCCCACGCTCTCCGCCACCATGAACCCGCGTGCCAGGCCCTGGGGGGCAAAGAGGGGTTGGGGGGGGCGCACGTATGGCATGGAGGGGTGTGAGGCGCTGCTAGGACGCAATGCCATCGCCTGCGGCGCGTGGGCGTGCTGGCAAGGGAAGCTCAAGTGCTCCTATTGGCACACCTTACATACATGCACCACAACACACAGGACCACATCGTAATTGAGCGCAGTGCACGGCAGCAGGCGCACCTGCAGCAGCGGCAGCATGGAGGGCGGCGCGGAGAGGAAGAAGTCGGTGCAGATGTGCGCGTACAGCACAATGCTCACGCCCTCCGCCCGCACCGCGTGCGCCATGGACGGGGGAGCCTCCAGAGGCGGGTGCGTGTGGGCGTGCGCCTGCCGTGCCAGCTGAATAGGCGCCTGGAGAAGGGGGGGGAGAGGAGGGGGAAGGGGAGAGGGGGAGAGGGGAGGAGAGGGATGAGCGATGCAGACAAGCGATGCCAGCTGTGAAGAGGAAAGGGGTGTGAGCATGGATGGTGGACGCTGTGTGCGGCACTGACCTGGATGTTGACCACAAGGTGTGGCGGCCATGCCGACACCAGCGCCGCCACCTCGCGCGTGCTCAGCACGCTGCCCACGCCCGTGCTGCCCGCCGCACTGCTCTCAGCAGCCCCGGCGGTGGCGCGTGCGGGGTCAGTGGCGTCAGCAGCGCGGGGCGGCAGGGCGAAGGCAGCAGGGGAGGGAGCAGCGGAGGAGGTGGCGGTGTGGGGGAAGGCGGAGAGGGCGGCGGGCAGCTGCACAAGGCGCGCGACGTGCGTGAGCTTGGCGGGCGCGCGGAACACATCCACCGCCGCCACCACGTACGGCGCCAGGGGGTGCGCAGGGCTCTCACTCAACGTGCTGGAGGGGAGGGGGGGGCGTGGCAGGGAAGGGGTGGGGGGGTTAGGGTTGTGGGTGAGTGGATGGGCGGCGAAGCAAGGCGGCGTGATGCTTTGGTGCAGGGCTGGCTGGAGAGCGGAGGAGGTGGCAACTCACGAGAAGTAGTCTGGGCCGCGCACGGGGAAGCAGGAGGGCGGCACGGGCGTCCAGAAGTGCGTGCAGGCGTGGGTGTCTCCATGCGCCCCCACCCCAAACGACAGCCCGTCGTCGCCCTGCCAAGCGCCCGCCTCGCTGCCGCCGTGCTCCACGCGGGCAGCCGCCTCCACGTGCGCCTCATACTCCGACGGTGACACACGCGGCAGCTGCCCCGCCAGGGGCTTGCGCGATGTGCTGCGCACTGCATGGGGGGAGGGGGGGGGAGGGAGGGATGAGGGGAGAGGAAGGAAGTTGGGGAGAGCAGGGTGGAGATTGAAGAGCAGCACCCAGCAGTGCCTCATTCTGCACCGCCCTCTCACCCCACATCTCTATCCTGCACCCACCAACCCTCCCGCACCCCTCCCGCATCCGTGCCATGCCCCTGCAATGCACGTGCCACGGCGGTGCGGCGGCTCACCGCTGGCGCTGAGGAAGAGGCCGGGGCTGTTGACGCCCAGTGGCGACATGGCGGCGAGCTGCAGCGAGTTGGAGCGCAGCAGCGCGCCGCTACCCGTGCGCAGGGGCGGCGGGCGCAGAGGGGACATGGGCACCACGTGGGGCGCGGCTCCCTTGCTGCCGCCCTGCCCTTTTCCACTTGCGCCATCCGCATGGAATGCAGTGGTGGCAGCGGCAGCGGCGGCAGCGGTGGTAGAGGGCGCGGACGAGTCAGAGGGCCGGCGGGTGGGGGCCTGGCGGCGGGGGGAGGAGGGGCGGCGCAGGAAGGAGCGGACGACAGGGGAGACAAGGCGGTGGGAGGAGGAGCGGGAGGGGGGCCTGGGCGAGGGAGAGGGCGAGGGCGGGGCGGGGGCAGCAGCGGAGGAGGAGGTGGCGAGGGAGAGGGAGACGGGGCGGATTTTGGGTGTGAGGGAAGGAAGCGAGGAGGAGGTGGTGCTTAGAGCAGGCCCTGCTGCAGCGTCACTGGCAGGGGCAGCCTGTGTGGCAGCAGTCGCTTGAGGGGCGAGAGAGCCAGCAGCAGTGGCAGTGGGAGTGCTGGCAGAGGCAGGGAGGGCAGGTGCTTCTGGCTCAGCAGGCTCGGTGGGAGCAGCAGGTTCGGTGGGAACAGCAGGTTCGGTGGGAACAGCAGGTTCGGTGGGAGCAGCAGGGTCAGTGGGAACATCAGGGTCGGTAGGAGCAGAAAGTTCGGTAGGAGCAGCAGGTTCGGCGGGAACAGCAGGTTTGGTGGAAACAGCAGGTTCAGTGGAAACAGCAGGTTCGGTGGAAACAGCAGGTTCGGAGAAAACAGCAGGTTCGGAGAAAACAGCAGGTTCGGTAAGAGCAGCACGGTTGGTACGAAAATAACTAGGTTCAGGTGCAACAGCTTGCAGTGACGCTGAAACGGTGGCGGCAGCAGCAGCAGCAGCAGCAGCAGCAGCAGGCGGGACAGTACTGGTGTGAGGCGGTGTGTGTGTGTCCCCTGCCACGGCAGCAGCGCCATCCGCCCCACCCTCCTCAGCACCCCCCGCCCCCTCACTCGCTGCAGCAGCGCTGCCAGCATGCGCGGCAGCGGGGGGCAGGCAGGCAGGCAGGTCGCAGGCAGAGGGCGCGGATGGGGCGACGAGTGCCATGGGCTCGAGGGTGGGTGTGAGCTGGGCCACTGCGGGGTGGGGCGTGGCGGGGGGAGGCGTGTCGGGCGCAGCAGGGGGCGTGGATGAGCCCTCGCCTCGCCCGCCTTCTTCTTCCCCCTCCACCTGCTGCGGCTGTGGGGATGGCGCGTAGTGGGGTGGCTTGGCGTTGAGTGGGGTGGTGGGAGACAGAGGGGGAGGAGGGGGTGGAGAGGAGGGGGCAGGGGGGTGTGGTGGAGAGGCGATGGGCGATGGTGCAGTCGCTGGGAGGGGGGAAATGGGCAGGCAGTGGAAGGACGACAGATAAGTCACACGCCGTTGCTGCAGCTGCTACATTCTGTGCGTGTGTGCGTGCGTGCGTGTGTGCGCGCGTGTGACCATGTGTGTGTGTGTAGGAGAAACCAAGTGCACAAGTGTGAGGGCAGCAAGGAGCAAGGGAGAGAGGCCATTGCAGGAGGCAGGGGCGATGGAGTGGCATGCACCCCGGCCCCACATGCGTGCGTGCGTGCAGCACCTTGGTCGTCCCCGCCGTCATGGCTGCCAACGCTCAAAAACTCCTCATCCTCCTCCACCTCCCCCTCCACCGCCTCGCCCCCTGCTGCCTCGCCACCCGCCGCTGCTGCCTGCTGCTGCTGCAGCGCCAGCAGCTGCTGCCGCCTCTCCAGCTCCCTCTGCTGCTCCGCCAGCGCCTGCTGCTTCCGCGCCAGCTCCCTCTCCAGCGCCTCCAGCTGCCGCTCCTTCTCCGCCACCCCCACCTCCTGCCCTCCCCCCACCTCCTGTCCTCCCCCCACCTCCTGTCCTCCCCCCACCTCCTGTCCTCCCCCCACCTCCTGCCCGCCCCCTGCCTCCAGCCCCCGCCCCGCGCCCGCCGCCGTAGCGTCCCCTTCCCCCTCCGGCCTGCCTGTCGCACGCTCCGCTGTTGCCTCGCTCCTCTCTGCGATGCCGCACCACGGGACAACAGGGCGCACAACGGAAGGAGAAAGGTGAGAGTGGGGGGATGGAGGGATGTAATAGGCCGGCAAACACGAGAGAAAGACGAAGGACCATTCGAAAGGCGGGCAGTGGTTGAACGCAGAGGACGGCACGGCGAGAGTGCGACAACCAGCACGCGGCTGCTGGCTGTGACGTGGAGGACCGCGCAGGCGGCGCAATGCTGGGAGTGAGGGCTGGCGAGAGGGCACGCGGAATGGGAGGGGTGGGGGCGGGCGGAGAGCAGGAGTGGGGGCGCGGGCGGCGGGGACTGACGGGCTTTCATGAAGGCGTTGAGCGCCACGTTGGGGTGCACGGGGATCTCCTCGCCGAACACCCGCCGCCGCGCCGACTGCCCCGCCTGCTCCTCGCCCGCCGCCTCCCCTGCCCCCGGGCCACTCGCTTCCCCCCCTGCGCCCGCCACCCTCTCCTCATCCGCCTCCTGGCAGCTGCTGCCCGCCGCCTTCCCACCTCTCCGCTTCAGCTTGGGAAAGCACGTCGCCTCCCCTCCATCCCCCCCGCCTCCGCCAATCCCTCTCCCGCACTCGCGCCCGTCTCCTCCCCCTCCTTCCCTGCCCCACTCTCCTTCCCCGCGCCGTCCTCCCCCTTCCCCCCCGCGCCCTCTTTCCTCCCCCACAGCGCCATGCCGGCCCACATGGAGCGCTCCCCGTCGCGCCTGTCCCCCCCGCTCAGGCAGTTGAGCGCCACGCCGTCCGCCGGCACCACCGCGCTCAAACACCCCATAGTTGCTGCCGCGCCCGCCGCTTTATCCTCGCCGCCCGCCTCCGCTGCCTCTGCTTCCTCCGCCTGTCCCCCCCCACTCGCCTTCTCCCCCTCGCCCACGTCCCCAGGGGCCTCGTTCCCCGCCTTCTCCCCTCCTCCCGCCGCCTGTTCCTCCGCATCCGCAGCCACTGTGCCCTTTCCTTCCTCCCCTCCGGACCCGCCTTGTCCGCCCTTCTCCCTGCCGCCCGTTTGCGCACAAGGGGACGGAAAGTCACGGTTCTTGCGCGCGGAGGTGGAGGGCTGCATGGACTCCGCCTGGTAGCTCAGGCAGCTCACGGACGACAGCGACTCTGCGCAAGGAGAGGGGGAAGGGCCCGCGCGGACGCACATACGCTCAGCATAATTTCAACCAGACAGCAACTAGCGTCGAGAGAGCGGGCGCGCACACAGACAGGAGCCGCACTGACGGCCACCAGGGGCTCCTCCAACGCACCTGCGCCCGCGCTCTTGAAGTCGTCGTCCGCGTCGGCATCCGCGTCCACGTACTCCTCCGCGTCCGCCGTCGCCTCCTCCCCTCCCGCCACCGCACCGGCTGCCGCGACCGCGAGACCATCTGCGGTGGGAGGACGAGGCAAGGGAGTGGCAGGATATGCGGCACGGGCAGCAGCCGTGGGAGGCGTATGGCACAACGTCAATGTACGGCGTGGGCTTCCCGCCCTTTTCTCGCCGTGCCATATCGCCCCTATCCTTCCTCGTTCGGTATAACCCCAAGCCATTGCACTACGTACGACGGCATAGCCCAGTTGGCCGTCGCGCCCCTCTCGCCCGGCCACCACCGTGCTCGCCACTCACCGGCGTCTTTCGTCATCTTCCCCGTCTCCTCCTTGTCCGCTTGTGCCTTGCCATCAGTTGCGCCGCCTTTGTGCGCCTTGGCTGGCGAGGGTGCGCGGTGAGGCGCGCCGAGCACGTCCGGCTTGGAGAGGCAGCACCCCATCCTCGCTCGCCTCGCGCTGCCCCTGCCCTCGCGCTCGCGACCGCTCCACCCGGTGGCGAAGCACCCACACTGCTGGTCCACTGTATCGGAGCTGCGCATATAGAGACGCACGTGCAGATGGAAGGGGAGGAGTTGCGCGCGATGACAGGACGGTGAGAAAGGGAGGCTCGACAGCGAGCAGGGTAGCGACGTGGCTGGAAGAACCAAGAAGCGGCGGATAGAGGAGCGCGCGGAAGACGGGGAGATAGCGCCAAGGAGAAGCCGCGCATGCCGTTCCGCGTGGACGGCCGAGCTGCTTGCGGTGACGACTGACGCTCACACGGCTGTGCGCAAGCTCGACACGTGGCAACTTAACAACGAGCAGCCTCACCTACAACCACGAGACGGTAATTTCTCTCGTACGCATGCCCATTCTCCGGACGGCCTAGTACTGCTGCTGACGTCTTCTCTGCGAACACCCTCACCGCGGATAACTACTGCGCGAAAGAAAGGAAAGCAGGTGTGTGGTTCAGCTTGCATTGCCGGCATTGGAAATGGCGAGAGTCGCACCTGATGAGCATCCCAATAAGCGCCCGTCCTCTCACTGCCCCCTTTGCTTCTTGCTCTTCTCGCCCCACCTCGCCTCGCCTCACCTCGCCTTGTCTCGTCTCGCCCCACGGCCTCACCTCCGTTTGTCGCTTTGCCTTCCCACCCACCTGCGGACAATTCGGCTGGACCGGAGCGGCTTCGCGCGCCAACCAGCAGTTGGTGGCGACTGATTGCGACCTCTTATTCACACCAATTGCCCTCACCGTAACTTCGCAAAACCCCCCTGATTTCGCGAAGTCAACATTGAGGCGGCTCTGGTGTGGTAGGTCTGCCTGCCACCAAAGCAGTTTCTTGGCGCGCTTCGGCCCTGACGGGAATGGTGACGATGACGAGGGTTGGAGTGACGAAATAACGAGATCAAAGGAGAACTCTCCGACGTGGTAAGGTCCGCTAGAGGGAGCATTCTCACTTGACCTCATCTCTATAGATTCACTTTACTGATGTGCCAGTACAGGAGACAGTCCAGACTTCTCAGGGCTACCACTTCGTAAAAACGAGAATACATGCATTCCAGTGTTCCCGTCACCGTCAATCGAAGTGTACACGGGCTTCACAAGAGTTCGACATCCCCATTTGTATCATCAGGCGAGACTCCACGAAGTGAACAGCTTCGTGAACACCGAAGTGCTATGTAGTGTTTGCCCTATGTCCTTCAAAGCAGTAGCGTGAAACTACAACTTCGAAGATTAAAACAAGGACAAAATGCTAGTGGTTCTCCATCCTTGCGAAGAACAATCGTTCAAAGCTATGACAAGGTCCTGGCATGCTCTTTTTACAAAAGCCACGATGCTATCGTAGGCTTCACGACCAGCAGTGCCAAAGACCACTTCGGTTTCTTAGAACATGTGGCAAGCAGGGGGAAAGAACAAGCAAGCACAAGAATGTGAGAGAATGTGCTGACAGGAAGCATCCACGCCCAGAAGCATGAGCCGACAGGAAGCCAGCATGCGACAGAAACATGCATGCGGCAGGCATTGAAACCTCCGTGCATGGCGTGCCCACTGCGCCCTCAGCAGAAGAACATGTGCTCCTTCACACGGCCCTGCAGGGGCGGCAGCGGGCGCACCACTACTTCGCCCGCACTGCGGCTGCTACGACTGCCAGAGCTCTCCCCCGTGGTGGCGGACGTGCCCGTGACCGTGGAGGGCGGCACGGCAGCAGGGGCGGGCTCAAAGGCGGTGGACTGCGAGCCGGAGTCGGAGAACTGGTCGGCGTCCATGTAAAAGCGTGCACGGAAGGCCACAATGTGCGCGTAATAGGCAGGGGGCACTGCATAGGGGGGCACGGCAGAGAATGGCAACCGGCAGCAAGGAAGAGGCAATACAAACAAGCCAAGGAGATAAGGAGCTGCCGAAAGACGTGCGGTAGTCAGTTCGTTGGCACAGTAAACAAGCAATTCTGGAAGAATTGAGGTAAGATGCAGGTGATTCGTGGGCAGCAGAGCATGTGCAGAGCATGTGCAGAAGCACTCACCAACAGACACCGCACGAGTGCAGCGAGCATAGCTGCACAGATTTCACGAGGAAAGGGAGAGGCAAAGGAAAAAAAGAGATGTGAGAATGCGGAATTGGTTGGTAGTCGAAGATCATCGGCAGCCTTCACCTGGCATGGTAGATGCGCAAGCAGCATTGACATGTAAAGCAAAGGCAGTCCATGACTACACAGCGAGAGCCACCTCACACATGCAACATGCCACATGCCAAGAGCCACTTGCAATGTGCCATACAAATGCACAAAGAATGCATGGCATGCGTGCCCCATGCGTACGTGTAAGCCATGGAGTACGTCATGCGCTGCAGCGTGTTGGAGTCAAAGCCGTTCTCATCATGCACCACGTGGTAGTGCGTGGGGCGCGACGTGCCCTGCCATGCCACACACACGCACACACACCGCAAGGCACAACAGATGGTGGGGCGGGATGGACACAAGATCAACGTGCGAAAGAGGGGGAAATGGTTGGTGTGAGAAGGAAACATTGAAGCAGTTGAGAGCCTGCAAGTGAGGTGCGGCATGGTGGCGGGACGTGACAGTGCAAAGACAAGTCGGGCCTGCTTACATGGTGGTTGACGCAACCAACATAGATACTGCCACTTACAGCTCATACCCATCAGCCGGGTGCAGGCAGCGGGCTGACATGAGTGAAGGAGTGGCTGACCTGGATGCCGAAGTGGCTGACCTGGATGCCGGAGTGGCTGACCTGTATGCCGGAGTGGCTGAGCAGGTAGAAATCGAACTCGGTAGGGTGGCAGATGCCAGTGTCGATCACCGTTCCCGGCAGTGCGTTGCCGCTGCGGTCCGTGGTGCTGCGGTTGCGCGAGTCGAAGGGGAAGAAGCGCGTGTGGTGGCGCTTCTGCACCACCGCAAAGGTCACCCGCGGCTGGTAGCTCTCCTCCAAGGATGCACATGCCTGCACGCCGGGACACAGGCAGTGGGGCCCGCAAATAAAAATGCTGGTGCAATGAGATGAAGGCAAGCAGGGTGTTGTGCATGCACTGGATGTGACATGGAACAAACCACAGCCTCCCCCTCCCACAGCAACAGCTCCCTGTAAAATTCCCCACCCCAGGCATGCGCGCCCCCCCCTGTCACCTTCTTGATGGCCGCCACCTCGTACTCCTTCACCGCTGCAAACTGCCCGTCGCTCACTCCGTCCCTGCCCCGTTCCACACGCCGCCATCACAGATTCCAGGGGGAGACAGGTGGAGGTAAGGGAAGGGGAAGGCATAGGATATCGGGACACAGCTGTGGAGGCAGCATCTGGTGAGGGCTGCAAGTGTGGTGAAGATGTGCATCTCAGGAGCACAGCTGCCGTGTGCAAGAGCAGTGAAAGGACGCGGAAGCACCCATATGTGCGATGGATGGACGCAAGCAAGTGGCGTGGCGGAAGCAAGGGTGCGCTGCGCGGGGGTAAGGGTGGATGGCGTGGCAGCAGCGCGCACCTGTACATGACGACACGCTGGGGCTTGTGGCCCGTGGAGCGGTAGAAGCTGATCAGCAGCTCCCTGCCAGTGCCACCACCGCACAGCCAGAGGGGGCGCCACATGGGGGACACACACACAGCGCACAGCATGTCAGCAACTGATGCTGGGGGACGATGGCGCCCGCAGAGAGGACAAGTGCGTAGGTGGCCACAGCAGCGAGGGCATGGCAGCGGCACATGGCGTGGCACGCACCTGACCATGCCGCCGTGCTGCAGCATGCCGCTGCTGTCCTGCGTGCACGTGTAGAGGTTCTGGATGATCTCCAGGCGGTGCGCCTGCGCGCTCACCAGCGCGCGGTACCGCGCCATCTCCGGCCAGTCCATGGATGCCACCACCTGCGCACCAGGGGGGGGGGGCAGACCCGTTGGGAGGGGTCACCAGGGACACGTGGACCTTTAACTGTAATCATACAGGTACGTGTACAGGAGAACAAGAGGGAGGGAGGGGGCGTGAAGTGAAGCGGTATCGGCTCACGGCGGCGATGGAGGGGCTGTTGTCCTCCCCTGGAGCGGGGTGCGTGACATCAGCGCCGAAGAGGATGGTGTGCTCCTGGCACACCAGGGGGATCTGCCGCTGGATGGAGTCCACCAGCGCCGTGTTGCGCCCACCCACCTGATCCACCCATGCCATGCAATACAATGATTATGGATAGAGACGCATTTGAGCAGGAAGAACAGGCAGCACAACAAGCCATGCGCAGGTGCAGAGCTGCCACGAGCTGTGGGCACGAAGGAAGTACTGGCAGCTTTGCATCGCCAGAGCACCCAGCAATGCCACATGCGTGATAACCACGCCAGCACTTGCTTACCCCTACACCTCTCCTTCTCTAGTCCTTCCTCCCTAGCCCCTCCCCCGTATGTCCCCTGTGGCTGGGCGTGTGGTGCGTGGTGCTTGCCTTGGCGTTGATCTTGAGCGCCACGTTCGCCAGGTACTGCTTGCCTTTGCCAAGCTTGTTCGCCAGGCAGCACTGCGCGCATGGTGGAAGAAGGGAGGACAGGGGGGGAAGGTGGCAGGGGTGTAGGACAGAGGAGCCTCCAAGGGGGAAAGGGGGGGGAGTGAGGAGGTGTGTGGGCGGTCCTGTGCGCATTAAGCGCCCGAGGGAAGGAACAATGAAGGAATGGAGACAGACTGAGCGGGAAAGGAGATGGGAGCAGGCAGACATGCTGTTGAAGCTGGCGGGCAGGGGGGGGACGAGGGCAGGCAGGCATGCGAAGGAGTGTTGGCAAGTGGAAAGCACATGGCAAGGCACGGAGGGGAGAGGAGGGGAGCAGCGCATCACCTGCGTGACGATGCCCAGCTCAGTCTCACACAGCCGCTTCAGATTGCCTGCACGCACGGGGAGGGGGAGGGAGGGGGAGGGGGATGCAGACAATGTAGAGCACGAGCATGCACGCACGGAGGAGCAAGTGGCGGGTGAGCTTTCCTCCCTGATCCCATCTGTGGTCGTGAGGGCTAGAAAGGGAAAGCCGTTTGTCGCAGGGAAGAGGATTGACTTGTGTGACAGGGGGGAATGGGCTGGGCAACGGCAGGAGGGTTGGTGCGGGGCGGGTGGGGTTGCGATGCGGCGCACCATAGAGCGGGCCGTTGCCCTCGTTGAGGATGCAGATCACAATGTCCACGTCCGGCATGGCCTGCTGCGGAGGTGTCAGCTGGCGCGCCAGGTTGCGCAGAATGGCCTCCATCTGCGCCGGGTGGCCCCCCGCCATCGGCACACACATGCGCTGCTCCATTTGCTGCTCTCACATGCGCACACACATACATACATATGCACACATGCATGTTCCGTTAAGGAAAATTAAGGGGAGTGCAAATGGCGAGATGTTGATGGCAGGCGGAAGAAGGTGAGCAGGAACAAGAGGGGCAAGAGCAGGCGCACACGGAAGGGGAGGGGCCAGGCATGCAGGCGGGTGGCGCACGCACCAAGCCAGTGATGTTGCACATGTGCGCCAGGTCCCGTGCAAACTGCTCTGCTGCTGGGCGCGGCAGGCGACTGAGATTCACCAACGACCAGCGACGCACCACCGCCCCCGTGAGCACTCGCTGCGATAGGGGAGGGGGGGGTAAGAGGGTGAGTGGAAGAGGGAAGGGGGGGAGAAAGGGAGAAGTGGGAGAGAGGAGGGGGGTGCAGGGGAGGATAGAGAGATTATGTCAACGTCATGGCGATCATCTGTACATGCAATGCAAGGGGCAGCAGCACAGCACCAGAAAAAGCAACTCCTGCTGCCACCTCATAGGTGAGGGCATGGCAGCATGGCGAGCGCATGGCATAGGGAGCAGCGGTCGACCTTGTTCATCATGTTCCACGCGCCCACTTGAGGCACCACCGTGCGCTCGCCACCCGAGTCGGAGTACTTGAGCTGCCAGCACCACAGAGCACAGCCAAGGCACGGGCGCAGGGGGGAGCGGTGGGTGAGGCAACTGAGGGCGAGGCGCATGGGTGGCACGAGGAGTACCACGTGGCTGCAGTGGAAGGAGTAAGGGGCGGATAAAGGCGGGGGCGGCGAGTGGCGTCCGTACCGTGGGCGTGGGCAGCACGCGCGCGTTGACGGTGGCCATCTGCGGCGACACGCGGATGCCAAACTCGTTGGCGAAGGGGTCGCGGTCATACGCGTTGTGGCGCACCGTCTGCACACAGAGAGGAGGGAGACAGAGGTGGAATGATGTGCACAGCAGGCAAGCACATGGCACACACACACACACACACACACATCATCAGGTATGAAGAAGCCTTGCTTGCTAGCCAATCTGAGTTTGCACACCCATACATGTGGCCATGCAAGTCTCCCTGTTGGCGCTCACGCCCTCTTCCTTACCCAACTGCCAGCACTGACCTGGTTGATCTCGCTCTCCCGCTGGAAGGGTTTGCGCGCGGCGTGCACGAGGATCTGGCTGGTCTGCACCTCGTTCAGTTTCTTGTTGTGGCGCTGCCCCTCCACTATGCGGCACACCTGCACCCACACACAGGCGCACGCACGCATGCACGAACACGTGCTCACAACCACAACCACAAACCCATGCGCACGCACATGCACATGTGCTTGCACACATCAGAGCACAAACTTGGCTACATATATCCATGCACAAGTGGCAAGCAGAAGCACGGGCATACAGAGAGCACACGGTGCGAGGCGAGGTTGCATGGCGGGCAGGAGAAGGGGCACAGCGAGTTGGGGAGAGCGGGCAAGGAAGCAGGTGGCGCGGGGCAGGGTACCTCGAGCGGGAGGTAGTTGATGCGGTCGCCCTGCCCCGTGGTGACGCACGGCATGTTGCGCAGCTGCAGCGCCAGGCTGTAGTGCTGCCGGAAATACGCCTCCACCGTCACCACCTGCTGCTGCCCGTCCGGCGTCGTCAGGGGGAAGCTGCAGAGCCAGAGAAAGGGGGGGCAGAGAGGGGCGGGGCGGAGATCTGAGGCAGCAGCACCGAAGAGGGTGGGTGGGAGGACAGGGCATGGAGAAAGGATGGCAGGAGAGGTGATGTGAGGGAGAGAAAGTGAGAGGTGATGTGAGGGAGAGAAGGCGAGAGGTGGTGCCATGTCATGGGGAGCGGCGCGTACGTGAGTGCGTGCAGTGGCTGCGTGGTGAGGCCCGAGATGCGGTACTTGCGGCGCATCTGCCCGCGGTGCGTCACCTCTATGCGCACTCCCTTGAGCCCCTTGCGCAGCTGGCAGGGGGGGCGCGGGACCCAGGGGAAGGCGAGAGAACATGGTGAGGTGTGAGGCTGTCAAGGGGGCTGAGAGAGACGGGAGAAGAAGAGATCGCGGATACGTGCGCCACGTGGGACCCAGAAGCTGGTGGATGGGCAAGAGCGGTTGTCACCTGAACGCGCTCGGCATCGGAGAGCGGTTGGTGCAGGGAGTGGCGGTTGAGCAGGCGCTGCACGAAGTCCGGCAGCATGACCGCCTCCAGGAACGCTGTGGCCGCCATGTCTGCACGCACACACGCACACACGAGCGGCAGCAGCGAAACAGGAGCGGATGGGCGGCTGGTTGGTGGCAGTGCAGTGACGAGACAAGGGTGGACTGATGGACGAACGGAGAAGGCGGGATGCACAACTTGCGCAGTGGATGCAGAGAGGCAGCCGAGGATGACAGGCAAGGCATGGCCATGAGAGGAAGTCGGCAACAGGCAACGGCGCAGAGGGCGCATGGGCGGGAGAGGAGAGGGGCAGCAGCGGGGCGCGCACCGAGGTTGAGCGTGAGGCCCATCTGCGTGGGGCGCACGCTCTGATAGAACCCCTTCCACGCCTCCACGCCGTTGCCGATGGACGCGCGCGGCCCCAGGTCCGGGCTGAAGAAGGACCGCGCCACCGGCACGTACCTGCACTCATGGCCCGGGGAGAGGCAGCACGCGGAGGCGAGGTGCGATGCTGGAGAGAGCGGACGCAAAGACAAGGCAGAGCATGGTGCAGCACACATGCATGCACAGCAACCTCCAGCAGCGCGGGGTACGCGACAAGCACACAACACAGTGCAAAGAGCATGCAGCGGCCATGAACCCGAGGGAGCATGCGCTTCGCACGCACATGCGGGTGGGCTGCTCCCGGAGCACGATGTCGATGGCCTGCAGCACCTCCTGCGGCACCTCCGCCTGCCGCCCCGCCAGGAACTCCATCAGCTGCGACACGCTCGCGCGCCCCGCCAGCCGCAGCACCACCTTGAACGACCGGTCGCGCGGACGACTGGGAGACGGGACGGGGGACGACGGGACGGGTGAGGGAAGAGAGCACAATGCGGCAGGGCGGAGACATGGTTGTGAGCACGGGGCGGGTCAGCTCGCCCAGTTTCTTGGTCGCGGAAGCAGCAAGCACGGCGGCGAGTGATGCGCGACGTGCACGGATCTGCGCAGAGCGCATGTGGAGCGGCGGGGCGGGTTGCCATGTATCGTGGCACGGATGAGGGCAACGATGCTCGCAACGGCACGGGCCGTGCCATTACCGCGGTTGCGCTTCCCCTGCCGCGGGGGCTGGGCGGTCGTCCGGCAGAGACACCTCGAACTCCTGCGACTCAAACGGCAGCGGCGCCGCCGTGTACGCGTTCTTCACGCCGTCGAACGCCAGCAGCCGATTGCCCAGGTGCGACGAATGGTACGCGCGCGACAACTCGCGAATGACTTCGCGGTTAATTCGCTTGATGGTAATGTCTGGCGAAATAACAACCTGCACGAAACATGGAATAAGCCATTAGCAACACGCACGTGAGAACGCCAGGGAGGGGAACGAGGAGGGGTCATGGCATGCCATGGCATGCCCGTGGCAAGCGACGTCGCTTCAGCAGCCATCCGGCGTTGAGTGAACCGTCAAAACTCACGTCATAGTGGAAGATTTCCAAATCTGCAATTTGAAGCGGGAAGTGGTTGACTCGAATTTTCATAATCTGTCCGACCGTCCCCCCTCGGTCGGGGCGCCGCGGAAACGGGGCGTCAAGGCCGGAGGGGCGCGAAAACGAGAGTCCGGTGAGCTGTGCGACAGCGGCCTCCGTGGACGCTGCTGCGGGTGGCGGTGGGGCGGGTGAGGGAGGTGGGAGGGACGGCGGAGCAGCTGGGCGCGGAGCAGCGGGAGGCGGCGGGCCAGCAGCATAGGGCCCCTGAGGCGCGTACGCAGCAGGAGGCGGCTCATAGTAGCCGGGCTGCGAGGCGGGCGGATGCTGCTCGTACGCAGGCGGCCCACGCCCCCCTCCTCCTCGACCCCCTCCGCCGAAGCTACGGCCTCTCCCGCCAACGCGGTCGCCCTGTCCTCGGCCTTCCCCTTCTGGCGGATAGCCCCCGCGCCCTCCAGGAGGCCCTCTGCCCCTCCCTCTCACCTCCTGCCCGCCTCTGCGACCCCTACCGCGCCAACTGCCGGCGTCTCCGGAACCTGACGACATGGTTCAAAGAATAGCTCTTCTTAAAGATTTGCAATACCTATCAACAGCGGGGTGACAACAACGAGGAGAGGGTATGAGCAATAAAAGAGGCGCCCGCGATTATGAGACGGGGATGGAGGAAAATCTATGGAACAATTCACACCTCCCTCAACTCGAGGTTTGTCTGCCATCCACTCCCAAACCACCCCAGCTCATGCCTGCCGTAGGCTCGTTTGGACAGCCTACGCCCAGACCTCCGGTTTCCCTCATGCATGCAGTACAGTGTGGTTCCATCTGTGATTGGGCAAGTTCAGCGCCCGTGCCATGGCCTAAGTGCGGAGCGAAAGGACCGAAGACGTGTTACTCTGGGAATGTTACAATACCTTAGCAATTGTAAGGAATTTTATTCCTCACCAGGTTGTACTGCAATCGCGTACACCCCAACTCTCGAAAGACCAGGCTCGGTCCGTTTCCAACGCAACCCCGAGGCACGCCCGTGCCGCCTCCGACCCTTTCGACCGCGCCTGTACCCAACCAAGCTCTCCGGGCTCGTCGCCTAGCTAGAACCCTCGCTATATAATGCTAGGTTAGCATTCTTGTACTCGTCATTATTATTCCGCGCACTCTCAGTTATTATTCATAACATCTGGTATCAGAGCTACTTTCCTGGCTCACCCCGCTTTCTCAGGGTAGTTGATTTCCAAGGCATGGTTAACCCTGCGGGGCTGCAAAGCAGTTGTCCGTAAGCTAGAGTTATTAGCTCACACAATTACGATAGTGTTTGCGCCCCCTGCGGTTTCTTACCATGGCCTTACCCCTGCCCGAAAGGCGTAGCATTCGCATCATGACTCAGGCCCAGCTAGACGAGGTCATGGCTCAGATGCAGGCAATGCAAGCCGAGATGGCGAGTTTGAACAGTGAAGTTGTGAGACTTCGGACGAAGAACACCGAGCTTCGCTAGACGCATGGTGAAGCACGTCAGGAGTCGACTGGAGTCGCAGAGGACGATGTCAAGTTAGAAGCCGACGACGCAGCGAGCGAAACAGTTCTTGACGAGCTCGTATGGGAGTAGGAGCATGACGACGTGCACACTGTGACCGTGACGAAGATTAAACTCAAGCCAGCCTTACCGTCCCCGTTCAACCCTTCGGACAAGGCGACGACGGTGCAAGGGTGGCTGTTCAGCATGGAGTTGTTCTTCACGGCGGTAAGTGTGCATACAGACGACGCGCGCATTGATTATGTCGCGTCGCTGCTCCGAGGACTGGCGTTGGATTGGTGGCGACGACAATTAGCGATTGGGACTCCGGCAAGAGTGAAGCAGGCGAAGGACGGGACTTCGGATTCTTCAAACCAACAGGCAGAAACGATATTCGGTACGACCACGATTCGCACGTGGAAAAGGTGGGGCACAGCCCTACGAGCTCGTTTTGAGCACTCATCCGCCTCAGACGACGCTCGCATGAAGTTGCGCAACTGGCGGCAGGTGACTACTGTTCAAGATTACACTGCGTCATTCTCGGCACTTGCGGACCAAGTGGACGACCTCAGCGAAGCGGAACGGGGGGACAAATACATCAGCGGGCTGCATTTTGATATTCAGTACGAGTTGCAGCGGTCCCGTCCCAAGACGTTCGATGATGCTGTCCAGCTGGCGTCAGCAGCCGATGCACTGCAGCAGTGGGCGAGAAAGAACAACAGGGATGTTGGTCGTTTTCGTGGACAGTCTCCCCGCCCCACGATCAATGGCGTGTCAGCGCCCGATGAAACATTTCACGGGCTATGCTATCGATGTGACAAGCCAGGTCACCGAGCTAAGTACTGCCCGACGGCGCCCAAGAAGACGAAGAACGACAAGGAGAAGCCAGGAATTGGGAAAAGTCAATAGCAGACGGGCCCCCTACTGACGAGGCTTTGTCGCCCGAACTTAAATGTTCCCACCAAGTTATGGTACCGATACATGCTATCGACTGCACTCGGACGAATAACGGGGGCGAACCTGAAGATCACCCTGTGCTGGTCGAAGGCAAGGTGAATGGCAAAATAATAAAGTTATTTGTGGATGGTGGGGCTAGTCACAGCCTCATACACGTGACAACAGCGAAGCAGTTGAAGCTGACGTTGGAGAAATGTTTTACCCGAAATTGATGCGCGACTGGTGGACGAAACTCCACTTGCAATTCGGGAACGAGCGCGCATGGTGCGGATGAAGTGTGGCGACGAGTTCAGATTCAGCATGCCCATGCTGGCCACGACGCTGGACGGCTGCGATATTCTGCTTGGGCGTGATTGGCTGCGAAAATACAACCCGAGGATCGACTAGACAACGGGCGAATGCAGCGTGCACTGTGCGAATGGGTGGCGCGTACTTCCGTGCTGGCGCGGGAGGGATCCGGTGTCGACACGTATCAATGCCATCACCCTCCAGCGAGCAGTCAAACGGGGAGCAGATTTGTACGCGGTCCACCTGGCCGAAGCGACGACCGACGACACGCCAAAGGACATTGACACACTCTGTGCCAGTGTCCATGCCAAGCTCGTCACGCTGATTCGGCAGTACCCTGATATTTTCCGGATGATTTACTAGCAGGATTGTCACCCGAGCACCCCCAGGACCACAAAATTGATCTGGAACCTGGCGCGCAACCTATAGTCAGGACCCAGTGGCGGTTGACTCAGCCCGAGCTCACGGAATTGTGGAGCCAGCTGGACTACCTCTTGGAGAAGGGGTTCATTCGGCCAAGCACGTCCCCGTTCGCATCACCAATCTTGTTCACGCCCAAAAAAGACGACGAGCTGCGAATGTGCATCGACTACAGGGCGCTGAATCGGCGAACCATCAAATCTCGCTACCCAATCCCACGCGCGGACGATCTCCTCGACCAACTTTGTGGGGCTCGCTTCTTCTCGAAAATCGACCTACGCGGCGGTTACCATCAGCTTCGCGTCTTCGCTGACGACTGCCACAAGACGGCGTTCCGAACCCGCTTTGGCAGCTACGAGTACACAGTGATGCCGTTTGGCCTCACGAACGCGCCCTCCACTTTCCAACTCACCATGAACGGTGTATTCCGAGATCTACTCGACAAGTGTGTCATCGTCTATCTCGATGACATTCTGATCTACAGCAAGACACGGGAACAACACCTCAGGGACCTCGAGCAAGTTTTTCAGCGGCCGCAAAATAACGGCTCATCACGAAAGGCTCTAAGTGCGAGTTCCTAAAATCGGAACTGGAATTTTGGTATATGTCGTCGGAGCAGACGGCATCAAAATCGACCCGAAGAAGATCACAACCATTCGCGAGTGGAAGCCGCCGACGAATTTACAGGAGTTGCAAAGTTTTCTTGGGTCCGTTAATTACGTCCGTCGGTTTATCCCCAATATGGCTGGGATAACCGGACCATTAACTGACCTGCTACGGAAGGGCACCTCATTTGAGTGGGAGGAGAGACAACGGACTGCTTTCGACGAACTCATAAATTTTCTAACGTAGCCCCCGGTTCTTCGAATCGCTGACCCATCTCGACCGTTCGAAGTCTTGACGGACACTAGCGATTTCGCCATCGGTGCGATACTGTTACAGGATTTCGGCGACGGACTCCAACCAATCGCGTATGAGTCCAGGAAGTTGCAGGCAGCCGAGCGCAACTACCCCATCCACGACAAAGAAATGCTCGCCATCATGCATGCATTCAAAGTGTGGCGATGCTACCTGACGGGAGCCGACGTGACAGTACGGACAGACCACAAATCCCTACAGTACCTCCGCGTGCAGCCGAACCTAAATCCACGGCAGATTCGCTGGCTGGACGTCCTCGAAAGCAACTTCCACTACACCATCACGTACAAACGTGGGGCGAATAACATCGCCGACGCACTGACACGACCGTCCGCCCACCTCGCCTCCATCATCATTGCGAAATCCAACCCACTGCTCACCGGACTATTTACCCACGGCTATAGCACCGACCCCTTTTTCACTCGCAACCTCCACCAGCAAGCCACCACGACTCAAGGAATCTATTTCCTAAAAGCCGGTACTGACCGTATCTGGGCTCCAGCGTACAGGCTCCTCCGAGAATTACTTAGTCAGGAAGTCCATGATTCTAACCTCTCCGATCATTTCGGGGTTGATAGAACCCAGAAGTTACTTCACCGTTTTTATTATTGGCCTGATTTGGCGACTGATGTGCAGAAATACGTTTCAGCGTGCCCAACCTGCCAACGCATGAAATCTTCTCGACAACGGCCATCTGGACTGCTGCAACCGGTCGCGCCAATCCGAACGGCAACGATGCCGTCCTCGTCCTCGTCGACCAACTGACGAAGATGGCGCACTTCGCACCTTGTCGCACAACCATCACAGCCGAAGATACCGCAAAGCTTTTCATCTCCACCGTTGCTCGCATGCCCCTGCCTTCCAAACTGCGACAAAGATTCTGTGGGCCTTTTCGCATTCTCAAAATTGTGACATCTGTCACGACGAAATTATTGCTTCCGGACGAGTGGCGCATTCACGACGCCTTCCACGTCAGCCTCCTTTGTCGCTACGTTGCCAGCACGTCCGCCGTCGCACGCCCAGCGACCGCCCCCAGTGTCTGCCTGATGGCCGAACCAACCCTTGAGCCTTTCCGGCTTTTGAGTCATCGCGTCCGCCTCGACACAACAGGACGACACGTGGATTTTCTTGTCCGCTGGGTCGACCGTACAAGTGAAGACGACACGTGGGTCACTTTTGACTCGCTTCAGGAACACTCGGTGCTCAAATCTTATTTGACCCGCAAAGGCGTTCCCGATATTGATCACCTTCCTTATGAGGGGGGGTAGTGTAGGGAATTTTATTCCTTACCGGGTTGTACTGCAATCGCGTACACCCAAACTCTCGGAAGACCAGGCTCGGTCCGTTTCCGACGCGACCCCGAGGCACGCCCGCGCCGCCTCTGACCCTTTCGACCACGCCTGTACCCAACCAAGCCCTCCGGGCTCGTCGGCTAGCTAGAGCGCTTGCTATATAATGCTAGGTTAGCATTCTTGTACTCATCATTATTATTCTGCGCACTCTCAGTTATTATTCATAACAGCAATTGTAAGGATTTTTCAGTCCTTACCGAGCTGTACTGCTTATCGCGAACACACGTGAACCCACAGTCACTTCCG